TTCGTGCCTCTCTTGGGTGTCTCTTGGGAGCCCCTTGGGCCGTCTTGGTGCCCTCTTGGAGCGTCTTGGGCCGTCTTGGAGCGTTGGAAGCGGAAAAAGGCGAGACAGCTCAAATCCTGCAACAACCACAGGGGAATCTGTGATTTCGGCCTCTGAGAGCCCTCGGTCCTCTTGGGGGTGCTCTTGGGCCACCCCCAGAGCCTTTCCGGGGGCACCTTTGGCCTTTTTGAGGCAATCTTGGGCGTCTGGTCTGGGAGCGATCATGGGTCGATTTGGGATCCTCTTTGACGGTTCGGGCAACCTCCCCGGGATTTTGTTTGCCCAGTTTGGGCCCTCCTGGCTTCGGAAGACGGCTGGGAAACCAAGTGTCCGGGCCGTTTAAAAATCTAGAATCTGGGCTGCAGCAGCAGTAGCGGCACAGGTGTGAGCTGGGGCACTCCACTTCGTGTCAAGGGCACGGTGGCGGATATCTGGAGCCTCGTTGAAGCCCCAGTACGCCCGGATCGAGCTGGAGCGCCTGCCGGGGCCTCTTCCCGCTTGCTCCACTTGGCCCCCCCATTGCCGCCCCCCTTCCGAGGGGAGGGAAGAGCAATCACAACAAAAACTTGATGGGGGGGCCAACAAATTTCCGGGGACAAAAAGACAACGAATTCCTGATCCCTCCGAGGGGGGCACAAATCATTATCCTGGCGAAGGACCCAACCATATGAAGGTGTGATATCTTCTTCGGTGAAGCTCCCTATCGGGCCACGAAGCGCTGCGCTGGGCGGGGGTGGAACGCATGCGGGCGGTAGCACTGGGGCCGTCGGTGAAGCTCCCTATGAGGCCACGAAACGCTGCACTGGGTGGGTGAAACAAAAAACCAAATTAGGCGTGTGGGACTCATGCGGACGGTCCCATTGGGGGCTTCGGTGGAGCCCCCCATGGGGCCGCAAAGCGTTGTAAATGGTGGGCGAAAATGCCAAATTGGGTGTGGGGGACGCATGCGGGCGGCCCCACTGGGGGCTTTGGCGGGGCTCCCTATGGGGCCACGAAGCGCTGTACTGGTCGGTGAAAGTGCCAAATTCGGTGTGGGGCAAGCATGCGGGCGGTCCCACTGGAGGCTTCGGTGGAGCTCCTTGTGGGGGACGCATGCGGGCGGTCCCACCGGGGGCTTCGGTGGAGCTCCCTATGGGGCCACGAAGCGCTGTACTGGGCGGGTGAAAATGCCAAATTGGGCATGGTGGACGCATGCGGGCGGTCCCACTGGGGGCTTCGGTGGAGCTCCCGATGGGGCCACGGAGCGCTGTACTGGGTGGGTGGCAATGCCAAGTCTGGTGTGGGGGACGCATGCGGACGGTCCCACTGGGGGCTTCGGTGTGGCTCCTTATGGGGCCACGAAGCGCTGTACTGGGTGGGTGACAATGCCAAGTCTGTTGTGGGGGACGCATGCGGACGGTCCCACTGGGGACTTCGGTAGAGTTCCCGATGGGGCCACGAAACGCTGTATTGGGTGGGTGACAATGCCAAGTTGGGTGTGGGGGACGCATGCGGGCGGTCCCACTTTGGGCTCTGGTGGGGCTCCCTATTGGGCCACGAAGCGCTGTGTTGGGCGGGTGAAAATGCCAAATTGGACATGGGGGACGCATGTGGGCGGTACCACTGGGGGCTTCGGTGGAGCTCCGCCGTGATGAGCAGCTCTCTCCCTGCAATCCTCTCCCGAGCGACTCGTGAAGTGTGGGCGGCGTCGCGAACTGAGGGGCGCATTCGTGTACGCGGCTGGGCGCGTACGTTTTGTTTTGGGCCCCCTGAGGAAGGGGGAGGAGGAGGAGGAGGAAGAGGAGGAGGAAGAGGAGGAGGAGGAGGAGGAGGAGGACGAGGAGAATGGGGAGTAGAAGGAGGAGAGACTGGTAGGTGCAAGGAGACAGTGGGAACCCAGACATCTGACGCCGTGAGCTGTTTCGCAACGTGGACCCCCAAAGTTCTTGGCCCCTTCCCCCGACCAGCGTTCTGTCTCGAGTCGTTGTTGTTGACGCCCCCAGGGGCCCAGCCATGGTCCCCGGAGGCCGAACATGGGGATGAGCTTGTGTCGTGATCGTCACAACGAGGGAGGGAGGAGTCGGCGGCGCGCAGAACGGGGTTGCGCGAGGGCGGGGCCTTCAGAGAAGCCAGGGGGGTTTAGTTATTACAGGAGGGGGGACCTTCTAGAAGCGCCTGGAGGCTTCTGATCAGTCTTCTCAGGAGCCTCGAGGCCCTACTGAGAAGGCCCCTCCCTTCTTAGAAGCCGCCAGCCTTCTCAGGAGGAGCCCCCATCTTTCGCGCCACCTCCCTCCTGTGTGCCGCCAAATGGTGAGGGGGGAGGAGGACGGATTTCGCTGGCGCCCGCGCCGCAGGCCATGATTTGGTCGGGCAAGGCGCGGTGGGAGCAGCAGGTCCGCGATTACCTCGGCGAGGACCGCGCGGAGCCGGGGGGGGCTCAGGCTGGACGAACGGGTATGATAGGGAAGGGGGGTGGGTACGAAATCTGCTGCATGCAGCTGGTCTCCGCCCCGCCGCCGGACCCATTTCTCGATGCGTGGGCGCCTCAGGAGGCCCCAGGAAAGCCAGCTACGTGAGCTGATTCTTCTAGGCCATCTAGATGGGGTCCGAGTAGATGGGGTCCGAGGATCGCGTCGCATCGGCGATGCATCGCCGATGCGGCTCGATGTGGAGCCCGTGTTTCTCCGCACCGATATCGCCGATGCATCGCCGACGTCGCCGATGCATCACCGATGCATTGCCGCATCGGCTATGCGGCGCAAACCTCCGACCCCATTTACTCGGACCCCATCTATGAGGCCTCTAATTCTCTACCCTGCCCCCCTGCGATCCTACCCTTTCGCCCCCCCCCCCCCCCCCCCCCCCCCCCGAGGGGCTCTGGCAAAGCGGTGGCTCGAGGAGCGGGGCCAATCGGGACAGCGGCGGCCCTCACTGGCGTTCCCTGGCCATCTCCTTGGCCTCTCTGGAGGTTTCCCGTCGCCACGGCTCTCAAGCAACTGTGGTTCAAAAGGAGGGGGGCGCGGGCGTGGGTCGCCCATCCCCCTCCTAGGCCCGCATCTTCTGGGCTTCCCCGCAGCGCTTGAGGGGTTTGACTCCGTGGGGTGCCACACCGCGGAGTTTCGACCAACATAGAGGCTCAGTTTCTCTCGGACATGTTGTCCATCCAGCCATGACGGGCACCAAGCAGCAAGCAGCAACAACTATGGACCCGTTGCACAGCATACAATCGATGTGAGTGGAATCGTATCCTGCTTGACAATGGCAAGAGGTGCGCCAAGTGTAAAATGCCAGTCGACCTTTACCGGAAGAAGAAAAGGAAGGTGCAGTTTGATCACTGCGACTGTCACGACTGTGACGAGGATCCGTGGAGCGAGGTGGGCCAGCTGCAGGCCCCTCGCCCCACAGGCATCCTCAGGAACCGCGGCTCGTCGCCTGGCACGGGCAAGGGAGGGCGCGGAGCGCCACCAAACGCTACCGTGCTGCTCCAGCAGGCGCTCGCGGCCACAGAACCAGCAGGCGCAGGCGTTGCAGGCGCAGGTCACCGCGCTGACCCAGGAGGCGTCGGAGGGCGCCAAGGCCCGGGAGAACCCAGCCAATGCCATTCGGCGGGCAGAAGGAACGTGGCGCAACGCCGAACACCTTCACGAGCAGGCGGTTAACAGCGTCATTCGCTTCCACGGCAATCTGGCAGCGGCGGAGGAGACGAAGCAGCAGGCGGCCTTGGTGCTGGCGCAACCCGAGGAGATCAAACGCAGCGCCCTGGTGGTCCATGCCCAGGCTGCGGGGCTCAAGGCTGCTACCTAGCCAGCCGAGGGGGCTCCGCTTTTCCAGGGGCAGTGGGGAGAGAAGTTGTTCGACGCGATCGACGAGCTAGATCCATCCGAGAGCGAGAATAATGCGCTCAATGAGCTCCAGACGCAGCTTCGCCGGGTGAAGACGCATCTCGAGAGCAAGAAGGCCGAAGAGCAGAAGTGTCTCGCCTGGCTTCAGCCGCAGAGAAGCTCGCTCAAGGAACGCGCGGCGAAGAAGAGGAGAGGCAAGGACGGAGCTGTTCAACCAGGTGGCGGAGAGGCAGTCTCATCAGGTGGCGACGGTGCTCGGACGGCGGCGGTGGCGGCCCAGCCTGCTGGCAGTGAGCCCGCGGCGGGCGACCTGACCAAGGACGAGATGTGCCAGGCCAGGGCCGCGGCAGCGGCGAGCCGCCTCTCCACGGCGAAGTTCGACGCGCGGGCGCTTGAGGCCAAGGCCGCGAGCAAGGGCGCAGCTGGTGCTGCTTGCGGCGCGGGAGAACGATTAGACGTAGCGGGCTCGCCTTTGTTCGCGCGCGCAAAGGCAGGGTGCTCTGACGGTGATATTGCCAAGCTGTTCGACGCGAGCATCGCGTGTCTGTCAGACAAAGCATGGAAGTATATTGAATCGCGTTTCAATCAAATGCGATGTTGGGGCTCCGTCGCGACTCGCATCCACGACGAGGCCGAAGCGCGAGACTGGTCGGCCGAGGCGCGCGGATGCAAGCCGAGGTTGCGCCGAAATGCGGCCAGGAAGTCTGGCAAGATAATTCCCGCTTCGGCTGATGCGCGCTCCAGCGAAGGGGGCGGGATGATTTTGGCGCAGAGGCATCTGCAGCTGCGCGTGCTCTTGGAGGCCAAGGCAGCTGCCCGTTACCTGCGCGATGCTTGGCAGAAGTCGCTCGACGGTTCCCTTTCCAGTCGTAGTCTACATGACGGGCTACCCGCTCTTTGTCATCCTGCTGAACGGGCGCCCCAGCCTCGGCACGGGGTCCAGGAATCGGGCGCGGTTCCAGAGGATCGGTGCCTCGGTGCAATCGGCGAAGACGCCTTGGGTTCTCATTGGCGGCGTCAGCATGTCCCCGAATGTGCTAGAGCAGCCCCGGGGGGTCCGCGCACGGCGCCGGGTGTCGAGGGCGTTTGCTCGCAGGGAAATAACAAGGTCTTGACATAATGCTTTATTGCCTGGTAATGACCGAGTCGGCAATCCCACTTGCTCGCGATATTTCTGCTGTCAAATATGCCCCGTGGAAACACATCGCGGCTTGATCGCGATCTTGCGCTCCTCCGCCCTCCAGCTGTTGACAAGAGTGCTCGAGCTTCCTGCTAAGCTACCGCGCTGTTCTGGGCCCGGGGCGGGACCCGCGCATGGCTCTACGCCTCGGGGGCAGAAAGCTCAGCATAACTTGGCGCGCGTCGAGGCCGAGGCGCGTCGCCGTGAAACGTTCCAGGCTCTGTTTGGTGGCGACCCGCGGCGAGACCTGCAATTCGGCGCCCAAAACCAGCGCGCGCAGTTTCGGCCCCGAGGGCGATTGATTTTGACGAGGAGTAAGACCCATGGGCCGATGAGCTTAATTCTTTACGCTTCGCGCATCCCCACCAGCCCATCTCACAGCAGCAGCTCTCGCGAAGCATGTCGACAGTTTTATATATCTATATATATATATATAAAAAAGCGTGTGTCCGCTGGGCTCCGTGTATCTCCCCTGTCCCTCCTCCCCCCCGCCTCCTTGTGAATCCTCCTTGTGGGGGGAGCGGGAGAAGGGCGAGGCGGAGGAGGAGGGAGAGAAAGCGCTCCTCGTGATTTGAGTCGTTTGGGGGTTCTCGTCCTGGTGTGAGTCGTTCGGGCCCTTCTTCCTGGTGTGAGTCGTTCGGGCTCTTCGTGGTGTGAGTCGTTCGGGCTCTTCGTCCTGGTGTGAGTCGTTCGGGCTTCTCGTGGTGTGAGTTGTTCGGGCCCCTCATCCTGGTGTGAGTCGTTCGGGCCCCTCCTCCTGGTGTGACTCGTTCGGGCCCCTCGTGGTGCGAGTCGTTCGGGGCCCGCGTCGTGGTGTGAGTCGTTCGGGCTCCTCGTGGTGTGAGTCGTTCGGGCGCCTCGTCCTGGTGTGAGTCGTTCGGGCCCCTCCTTGTGGTGTGAGTCGTTCGGGCTCTTCGTGGTGTGAGTCGTTCGGGCCCCTCGTCCTGGTGTGAGTCGTTCGGGCTCCTCGTGGGGCCTCTTGGGGGCCTCTTGGAGCCTCTGGGGGCCTCTTGGGGGCCTCTTGGGGGCCTCTTGGGGGCCTCGTGGGGCCCTTGGGGGCCTCTTGGGGGCCTCTTGGGGGCCTCTTGGGGCCTCTTGGGGGCCTCTTGGGGGCTTCTTGGAGGCCTCTTGGGAGCCTCCTGGGGGCCTCTTGGGGCCATCTTGGGGCTTCGTGCGACCTCCGGAGAAGCGCAAATGAGCGCTACCCCTTCAGAAGGACAAAATGAGCCCACAACCTTCGTACAATAAATAATTTTGAGAACAGGGAGCAGCAACGCTGGCCCCTCAGACGGCCAAACTGGGGCCAAAACCGTAGTAAAATCAAGGATTTTGGTTTCAGAGAAGAGGAGAGCATTTGTTCGTGGTCCCCCCGACGGGGCCAGAATCCTCGTGAGTGTAGTCGTTTTTTTTGGCCCTCCCAGGAGTCGAAAAAGACCCCTCTGACCACCCGCGGGACGACCTCTCCAGGCCCAGGGGGAGGGGGTAGGGGGAGGGGTAAACCCCTCCCCGAAGGGGAAGAAGGGGGGTTGGGGGGTTGAGGACAGAGAGAGCTCTCTAAACCACTCACGCCCGAAGGGCTGGTGGGACTTCTGTCCCGACTCGTCTCGGCGAGCGGCGTCTGAGCCCGCGCTGCCCCTCGCAGGGCCGAGGCCCCCGCTCCGCGGCAAGGCGGCGAGGCGAACGGCTGCGGGGCGGGCAGCCCGCTGCAGGCGCAGATTTCCTACGGGGCCCCCCAAGCCCTCGAGGCTTCTGCTGATCCTTCGAATCCGGGCAATGTTTCATTGAGTCCGAGTCAGTCAGAATCCACGGTGCCCCCGCCCCCAGAAGTCCCACCAGCCCTTTGGGCGTGAGTGGTTTAGAGAGCTCTCTCTGTCCTCAACCCCCCAACCCCCCTTCTTCCCCTTCGGGGAGGGGTTTACCCCTCCCCCTACCCCCTCCCCCTGGGCCCGGAGAGGTCGTCCCGCGGGTGGTCAGAGGGGTCTTTTTCGACTCCTGGGAGGGCCAAAAAACGACGACCCTCGCGAGGATTCTGGCCCCGTCGGGGGGACCACGAACAAATGCTCTCCTCTTCTCTGAAACCAAAATCCTTGATTTTATGCGGTTTTGGCCCCATTTTGGCCGTCTGAGGGGCCAGCGCTGCTGCTCCTTGTTTTCAAAATGTTTTATTGTACGAAGGTTTTGGGCTCATTTTGTCCTTCTGAGGGGGTAGCGCTCATTTGCGCTTCTCCGGAGGTCGCACGAAGCCCCAAGATGGCCCCAAGAGGCCCCCAGGAGGCTCCCAAGAGGCCTCCAAGAAGCCCCCAAGAGGCCCCCAAGAGGCCCCAAGAGGCCCCCAAGAGGCCCCCAAGAGGCCCCCAAGGGCCCCACGAGGCCCCCAAGAGGCCCCCAAAAG